TTGTGGTCTGGCCTGGCTCTGGTTTGGGTCTGATTTTGGTCAAGTACGGGTCTCATCGTGCATTGCAAATGTACACCTTGAACAATCCATCTGTTGTGCGTATTGGTCGAAGGTGATTATTCAGCTCATTTCACTTCGACCATTGGGTGCAACTCGCTCTTCATGTTCCTTATATCATTCTCTCCCACTCCCCACCTTCTCCCGTCTCGCCACTCGCTCTATCCTATGAGTGTTTACTAATGACCGGCCGATCGCCATCTCCGCCCGGCGGCCGGCCCGGGGCGTGTTTATGTGTGAGCGGCCGCGCCGCTTTCGCGCCCCGCTGTCACTGAGGGTAAACAGCTGATCACCGGTCAGGATCGGTGATGGATAGGTCTTTAGTCGCCTCTCGTCCACCCCTGTGGACAATCATTGGGATAGATAGCGCCGGGGTGAGATCGTCGCCTAGTGGGAAGGATGGGAGCACGGGCTGCCGAGACATAACAATCGCTAGACGGCTTATTTGTTCGATTATTGTTCGTGAAGGACAATAATGCACCGTCAAGATACAGAAAACGCACGACGGGTTGACCAAACAGCAGCATTCGGCGATGCGGTTTTATCCGTGCATGATCTTAGTACAAGCGATCAGCCGATCGTAAGTGCAACAGCAAACGTCGATACTCCGTTGGTGGCGTGGCTGTGGGGCTGTGTGTTTGGACGAGCGGGGTGGACCTTGGTCGTACGTGTCCGCTCCTTCCATTCATGCTGCCGACGAGTCTGTTGGAGAATCGTGACCGGCGGGCGGCGCGTGCGGCCGGGGCGCGTGAGGGCACGTGATCGGCCCACGTGGTCTGTGACGTGATTGCGTGAGAAAAGCACGTGCCGTACGACGGCCTAGCCGCACGTGACACTGACCACGAGCAGTGCCCGGTGGACGGCGCGATCGGGGAAACGCCGGCAGCCTGCCCGGAAAATCGCCACCGACGTTTTTACTGAGACACTGATTGATTGATAAATGATGCATGAGTGGTTTACTTTTGGACGACACCGGAATGTGGCGGCCTCGCGTGCGTCCCTGATGGATCACTGGCGAACGGCCTCGTGGAAAAATCACAGCCCTCATAATATTGATTTAATGAGTTCGATTTATCATGTACCGCTGTCTCATGGTCAAATAACACCACGATAACACGTTTTCCTGATCATGCGATGAGGATATGGCTTATTTCGTATGAAAAATGCGTAACTGCGATAAAATGGCCGGACAAACTGTGTCACTCCGCGACAGGACAGGATCTTGCTTCAAATGAATGAGGGAGCACGTCTCAAGTTTTTTTTAGGCCGCATCCACTCCTAAAGGACTGCCATCTTTTCAACTGACATCCAACAGACGAATGATGTCCAAGTCGCGCAGAATGGTGTTCACTTGAACAATCCGTCAGCCTGCCACGACCAATCGCCTGCGGGCGTTTCCGCTGACAGCCACAAACCACAACTATCCGCAGAACTAAAAACGGCCGACCAGCCCCACTTATTACCCCGGGCAATGACACGGGCGTCGGTCGGCCAGGGCCACTTTTTCACCGGCTTCAGGACCGATCATCACTCGGTTCTGATTGTCGGTGACTCGGATTCGCTCAGCTGTTATCACGGACTTTGAATCCCGTGTTTGCGTTTTTGCTCCAACTCCCAGCTTCCCAAATTGGTCGTAAAGGTATGCCGGACTCACTACAAGCACTCGGTTTGCCGGAGCCAAATCGGCGTCTCTCTGAGGCCGAAACAGTCACTCTCTGCCCTCTCACTTCCTCGTTTTGAGCTCATCGATGCGGGACCCGAGCTCGATAGTATTCCGCTGTTCCACTGAATGCAGGTGCAGGCTGTTCGCGCCCCTGTTCGGCTGCCAGCCTCAGTCAGCGCGACTGTTACCCCGCAGCTCGATCGTTTCTCGGTAGACCTATTGATGGTGCTGCTGCAGCCTGGTTTCCGCGCCGATGCTGCCCGCATCGCGGTGAACCTCAGAGCCCAGAGGCGAGCTCAGCGTAGTGAATATTTACGCGATACAAAAATCGTGCTCTTTTTGCCATGACGACTATTAAGCTTGACGAGGACGAAGCAATGTTTTCATTGAAACTAAGCAAAAGGACGATTTCTATCGCACCTTTTTCGCTCACAATCCAAGCACCCGAACCTCCCACCCCTAGCGGCGCCTCTGCCACCAATGTCATCCGCGGCGGCCGGCTACGGTTTATGTTGCAAATGTCCTTAGAGGTCTCATTGCAGACAGTAATTGCGGCGGTAATGACGCGGAATTAGTGTAGTTCGGCCGGCGGTGGGCGGCCGTGAGGGTCGGGCGCCGCGGACTGCCCACCACGCGCGGGAACCCACCACCTGAGCACGTGGTCACACGTGGCTACGCGTGGTCACGTGGCGCCGCCACGGTGGTGAGCGTGGTGACTATCACGGGCTTTGTTTGGGCTAGATGCCCCCGGCTGGGTGAAACAAAAGAAAGGATCAAAAGAACAACAGGGAATGATATGATTGTTTTTACGCTGCCTGGTCAGAATCATGTCTCAAACCGTTCTTTTTATTTACCGTCTCCGTCCAGCCCCCTGGATCTTCCACTCAGCGCCCTGCCGATAGCGATCGCTAGCTCTATCGCCCCTCATTGAACGCCTTCCGTGGCCTGCCAGCCAGCCAGTCAGCCTCACTGACCGCCGGGCGACCGGCCTACCTGGTCTTCCTGCCCCTGGCGTGGGTTAATTGGCCGGCTCCTGCCCATCTGCCCCCGCCAGAGATAAACAGGGGCAGGTGTGTTGGGTGACAGCGCCGTGGGGGGACAAACGCGCCACCAAATGGCCGACGATCACAGCCGCCGCTCCCCTCATCAGCCCCCTCGACTCCCCATTGGGACGACACTGCGGTGGGTTCTGCTAGTGATGAGAAGTGATGAGCATCGCTAAAAATCGCCGAGAATTAGTGGTAGTGGTAACAGTTCATCAAAAATGCTTCGAATAGTTAATCGAATAAACACCGTCTAAAGACAGAACGGACTTCCCTATCGACTTCCACGTCTCCCCGTCATTTCACCCCTCCCATTATCCCCTCAGATACCGACATCGCCATCCATCCGAACCTCCGGTGACCAGACTGCTGCCGGGGGAGGGAGTGTATCCCAGTAGCTGATTAAGCCCGGCTCGACCTCAGTCTCTGCTGATTAAATTAGCGTCCGACGCGCCGAGAGAGCGTCACCACCGCCGCCGCCGCCGCCGCCGGCCGCCGGACCAACGAATAATTTATGACGTCGGATCGATAGCACACCGGCCACCTGGCCCGATGACGATGACGTCATCAAGGGCTATGTGACGTCATCTGAGGGAGGAGCTGGCAGAGGGTCGGCTGGCCAGGCTTGGTCAGGTCAAAGTGTAAGATCGGTGGTGATCCAGTGATCCTGAGATCTATCTACCACTTCACCGCCTACCTCAATTAAATACCGCCCAACATCCTCCGCCCGCCATCCTAAGCGAGCCGCTGCCTTTGTCCGCGTGTCAGCGGTGGCAGGTCCGCTCTGTTGCAGGATTGCATTGCAGTAGGTCCGGTAATTGTGCGGTGAGTCACATAAGCTCGCCACTCCTTCATACAACTGAGGTGGCGCGGTGCAATGAGTGACACCTCCATCGCCACTCAATGTGGGGAGCTGCTTAGGTGTAGTGCCCCTGAGGAGATGTTTGGAAACATCTGAGCTGCTACAAACGCCTCCTCCTAAGCCCATCGTCCTTCATTTCAAACTGAACTGGGGCGACTTGTGAGTTTGGACACCGCACCTCATCCTCTCCCCCTCCGCCCGCTGCTCCCCCTCTGCGGCACCCCTCCGCCCGGACCCCCGACCGGTCGGCATTTAACCTCTGACCACCGGAACCGCTGGCGGCATTTATCTCGGTAATCGCTCCGTGTTGGGACAGGCGGCACAATGCTGCCGACGGGGCGCCCCGATAATGGGCGCCGGCTGCTCTCTGAGGGATACGCGCTCCGCGAGAACGGGGGCACCGCGGCAGTCCCGGACTCCTCGGACGCTGTCGATGCTCTGGGTCTGCCGGGTTGAATGTTGGTCACTCACTAGCGGATGCTCTGGGGAAGATGTGGCTTTGGGCCCTTGTGAAGACCGCCAAACGCCTGAAAGATCTTCAGATGTCTGTAGGCATAGGCGGGTTGAGTCGTCTGAGGATGCCTGCCCGGGGTGTATGAAATGGCTAATCATGAAGGACGTTGTTGAGGATTGGATTGAATGAGGACGTAGCATTACAATATCCGTACAGAACAAAATGATTGTTTTTATCAGCAAAATAAAGCTTTCCGAGAGCTTGTTATCTCCGCCTATGGGCGTTCACCACAAGCTGAGAGCATGTGATTGCTCGTGTCGGCGGCGAGTGGCGATAGTGAGTGCCACATTTGTCCCCCTGCGGCAGCGCGCAGGGCGCCCCCGGAGGTAATGGACCGCGGAGAGACAGTCAATTGTTTCAATGGTCGTGTCCAGGGGCGGATGTGAGGGGAACTGTGACGATGCCATGACGAGCACGTGTGTGTGTGGGGCGGGGGGGGGGGGGGGTAGAGGGACTAGGGAGACTGATGGGGAACATGAGATGGTGTACGAAATGCTGTTTGCTGTTCGGTGTGATTGTTAACTGATAAGTGATTGTTACCGCATTGTCTGTATCTCATATCTGTATAGGCAAGAACGTTCGACCGTCGACATTCACACCAAGTTTTAGGCTTCCGTTGCAAAAGAAACCAGCCATCACAGTCACGCCGACCTGAGTTAGCTAAAAGCCGACCTGTACCACCCCCGTCCGGCGTGGCGGCCCTTCGTACGCGCTCGGGCGCTAACGACCGCGGGGCGTCAATAGTCCAGTGTCCGACCGCGCCCGCGGCGAGAATTATTCATAGGCCCCTATTTAACCGACCCGTGATGCCCCCTTAGTGTGCGACTCGACTTTGACCACGGCCTGCCGTTCTACCCACAGCCTGAAGCCGCAGCCTGCCGACTCGAACGCCAAGAGCAACCCGAGCAAGCGTCACCGGCTGCGCCTGAACGCCGAGCTGGACACGCTGGCCAGCCTGCTGCCCTACGAGCAGAACATCCTCTCCAAGCTGGACCGGCTGTCCATCCTGAGACTGGCCGTAGCCTACCTGCGCACCAAGAGCTACTTCCAAGGTCAGTCAGGGTCAGGGTCGAGGGTGGGTCGGAAGGCTCGTCTTCCGGTTGAGAATCGTGCGGTTTTCGTGCGGAGCTGTGGTTAGCTTGATGCGAGGTCTGGCGATGCACACTCACTGCACAGTGCAGAGGTTGAGAAGTGGTAGACATGATCCTTCATGCCCGTGTGAGACGGCGGAATGGAACGGAAAGCAATTGTGGAAGCTGCCAGACTTACCTGATGGCGACATTTTTATTCGATGCAAGCGTAATTAAAAACGTGGCTAAAGCTTTTCTAGCCTCAAAAACTGCATCCACAAATGTTGTAGGTTTTGGAAGCCGTGAATCTAACTTTTGGTCAAATTATAAGATGTGGCGCTTCCACGACCCGCTCCACCGACCTCTTTTTGAAAGGATCATGTTGTGATCAGGTGTTTGTCATGTACCCGACGTAAAGAACTAGCCACACAATCTAAGAGGTTGCGATGGCTAAGATAATATGTCACATTTTCCTGTTCTTAATGATTGATTCGTGGAGCTCTTTCTATCTAACAAGTCTCAGATGACAGCATCAAAAGCCAAGATGAAATGGATTCGGATTTTCTTCGGTGTAAAGTACCCCCGAGGTCGTATACTCATCCATTTATAAATGCATTCCGCGTTACGTCATTCCTCTGATGACGCAGAATAGGTGCCGAAGTCACGTGACTTGGGGTTACTTCTCCCAAATGCCTATCTTCAACTGAAGCCCGATATTATCGAACACGGTAATAGCAGAGAAGGATCACGGACACGGAATCAGTGGCCTTGCCAGTCGGGGAGGCTCCATTATGATTGGTTGATTGATAGGTGTGATGCATTGCAGATTGACATGCACGAAAAGCCGGACTTTGACCGGCTGACCTTGCTAAATTTAGCAGGTGCATACCGTTCGGTAGAGATAAACATAACTCAGATTCATGAGCAGCTTTATTGGGGAAGATCGTCACTCTTTGGCTTATCAACCAAGTCTTCGAAGCGTTTCATTCACGGCAATGGCGTACACATTAGGGCAGCAGTTCACGCTCCGGGAAATTCTGCTACCTAACCCTGCCATCATCCTTGTCAGAATGACTTTAAATAGTCCGAAAGGGAGCACCCGCGACATCACCGTTTGCACTACAAACTCCGTCCCAGCGGCGTGTTCCCGCTTTGTGACGCGATGGGAGCCAGCACAGCGCCTCAGACGTGGGAGGCGAGGGCGGCGCCGGGCGCGCCACAACTGTCTCCACCAGGGCGCGGCGCGTTTGTACCCGCTGCGCCGCCCTCGTCATGTCAACTGGCCGAATTAGGCCTGATCAAGTCAAGTGTTGGTGGAGGATTTGGCCAACATCAGACGAGCCGACGAGCTCTGATGAGCCGCCTCCTCGGCGTGGGGGTACGACAGGGAGGCTGAGCACGTGTCCCGTTGTCGAACGGGTGTGGTCTGTATGGCGAGAACAATGGGTGCGGTGTCACAGGAGACAGGATGTGTCAAAACAAACTAGAATATTGACAGGGCATCGGGATAAGTAAAAACTTCGTATCCAGAATAAAAAGCCTTGGGGTGAAAAGAGACGGAACAAAGGTACCGACATGTATGCAAAAGCGTAACACATCCAGCAGAAGACATTCTATGTGTCATTCTCTTCGTGTTTTCCCTGAGAGCATCGCAAAGGCAGCACGCCTCCCGCCGGCTTGGTGTTCCGTGGATAGCCGGTAGGACCAGGGGCACAGCTCGCTCACCGCTCATCCAGCGGGGCCACAAACCGTCGACCGAAACGGCGACCAATACTCATCATCATCGGCACAAAAAGTCCGTGGCCGCGGCCTCGCGCCCGGCGCCGACCCGCCGCTCCGGCGACCGGACCGATCTTTATGGGGCGGCCGGGACCTCCGAGAGGCGTAATTGCGGATGGGCTTTCCGTGGTGTTTTTGTGACCTCCAGAATGGTTCAGTGGTGGCAGGGACACTGACGCTGAATCAGAGGCGTTGACCCTGGTTTGGGTGGTATGAGTTCCCGGGCGTGAAGCTGTTTACTGAATTAGAGGAAGAAGTGGCATTCGGTTGATTGGCTTGAGCTATGGTGAGAGAGTATGTCTCTAAGACAAGTGGCAAGGGATTTCGAAAGCATGAGGATCTACCGCAATCCCGCTGCTGCTCTCCGGTCTGCCAATCATCAGCACAGGGCCGATCTCGCACGAACGATCTGCTGGGTTCTTCGGTTGGCCAACTACACACCACTATGGCTTCCAATAAGCCCACAAACTGAGACCCGCCCCAAACTGCGAGCGGCAGTTCGAGAAGCCCGTCTGACCACAAGGAGTGCACAGGTTTCGAGTTAGGTCCGAGCAGCTCGCGCCACCCACGCAGTGGAGAGTCGTGTTCAGACACAGCTCGTGACTGAAGCGTGAGAGGGCAAGTCAAAAACCCGACGCCGCTATCTTTACGGCTCGCTGGGCGTCGACGCGCTAAGAACCGGAAGCGATGACAGTTCAAGTTGTAGTTAGTTGTCTTGACAGGATTTGCGGCTGCTGGATATTCCGACATTCTACCGGGTGCCCGCCGGTCCAAGACTGTATCATGCTTGGGATGGCTAAATGAAACATATCCTATTCCTCCACCGTTACATTATAAGCCAGCACCTCTAGGAAATGTGCTGCCGATCCACACTGGGCCGGGGGTCCGGAAAAGTGCTAGAAATTATTTGTGATTGAGTTGTTGATCTCAGTGACAAGCAAACATGTTAAAAACGAAGTGGGGCTGCTTCACCCTCGCCGGACCTATTGTCGGACCCCCCACCCCCTCGGCCGGCCGAGGGGGGAGGGTTGGTACGACCCCTTTTTGCCGTTTCGCCCCTAATGGAGCTAGAGCCTCGCGGAAAAAACAAGCGTGTGCGCCGTTTCAAGGCGGATCGATTGATACCCGATTTGAAGGTCCCAGGTCAACCGGTAACCTCTGAGGTGAAGTCAAAAAGCCCAAGGTAGTGTTTGGTTTTTGGCAAATAATTTCGCAAAAAATGGCCGCAGAGCAGCGATTTTGGCACCATCGTGTTCGCCTGGCTCAGGCGCGTCGAATGGTATACTTTTTGTTCGGGTGAGGTCAACTTAAGGTATTGACCTCGAGTCAAGGTCAGTTCAGAGCCCATCAGGCCACGAACTTAATCGAAGGAGGTCGTATCGCATATCATTCGATTCGGGAGGTCTTCCCGAGTCCATTGGTGGCTTTCCCGAGTCGCTGGCTCAATTTGATCATGAGTTATTGACGAGAAACTCCTATGACCGGTGTGACGTCATAAATGACGTCACGGAAGGTCAAAAATGCAAAAGTAAAGCATCGGATCTTGCAAGAAGTGCACGAAATCACGATTCCGTGTGCTTGAGATAGTTTGAAATCATTCCATGCGCAAAAACAACAGTTTCCTTATTTCCCCATTCACTTTTAATGGTGAGGTCACGTGACCTCGAAGAGTAGCAGGCATTAGTAAAAATTGCGAGTAGGGCATGATAGAAAGATGATTTGTGGTTTGTATGGCATGGCCATTTTTAACGGCTCGAAATAACATTTCTCAAAAAGTCTAACTAAAGAGCAAGTTGTTGTTGATTATCACTGACTTGTGTTTAGGGGTTAATAATGACTGATTTTTTGAGTTTGGCCCAGAAATGTTGACAGCATTGTGTGCGTTGATCAATTCTGAGCTCAGGGACATATATTTCATTTAGATTATAAGCGTTTGTTTTTCACAAGTTCCAGCGTTTTAAAGAGCGCCGGACCTTCAGTAGAGCGGCGAGGTGACAATTGCCCCTACATCATGTGGTTTACTGGCGCATATCTCGAAAAGTAGCAGGGAAAAGCAGCAAAGCACCTATATGGAACAAAAGATGAGTAATCAGAGGCTAGTATGAAATGTTCATTTTTAGCGGCTCGAAATAACGTTTTTTTAAAAGTCTAATTAAAAAATTGGATATGATTTTAAATTACGTCTTGCAGCTGCTTGCAAACAGCTAGCATATCTTGCAGAAAAGCGATGCAATATGTCAGAATGATGTTGGCACAGTGAACAACAGTGCCCTGAACTAGTCTGACAGGAAATTTCGTTCAAAACGACGATTGGTCAACTAATAAATTACCACTAAAGTTCATCATTAAAATCGGTAAATGTGGTGGCCTATAGAGAGTCTAAATTGTCTTGTGTTTGGTGACAACTGACGACCTCAATTTTGACCTTAGGCCAAAACTAGCATCGGAATCGTATTCTTCGATCAATTTGGGATTAAATGATACCTATTTTGTTCATATTGCGGACAGTCAGTTTGGGGGAATTTCTAGCGCTTTTTCAGGCTGCCGGCCTACAGTGCGATCCTAGCGAAGAATGAGGACGTAAATATGCTCGCGATCTGGTATAAAAAACAGTCTCACACAGCCTATCGAACTCCAACACCAAGCATAGCCAATGGTCGTTCGCGCATCATCTTACCGCATTTGCATAGCGGACTTGATTTGAGGACTCAGGACATGTCTTGGCTGCTCGTCGCCCCGCCCTGCTCCGTCCCAGCCCCACCTTGCTCCGCAGGCCTCTCCGCAGGTCTTTCCGCAGTCTCTCCGCAGGCCTCTCCGCAGGTCTTTCCGCAGTCTCTCCGCAGGTCTCTCCCCCGATCCGGAGAGATCCTGAGAGCGGTCCGGCCGGGACACGGCCTGCGGCCGGTCCTCGATCCTATCACCGACACCCTGAGACCGATCACCGACCCGGCGCGACGAGCGGACACCCGAGCCCCGCGTATTAGCCCTCCTATCGAAATATTATTATTGTGGCCAACTCTAATGGCGCCCGACCATCTGATGGCGATGATTAATGAGGACCCTCTTATGAATGGAATACCGCGCAATCGGACGGTATCGAACTTCCGTTTTTATAACGATACGCAGACCGTCGGTGATACGAGAGAGCTCATTAACGGTCAGCTGTGGATTGATACGGATGCGAGGGTCCTGAGTGGCTCCTG